AGTGGGTGAAATCTTCCATCTTGCTATACACGGCAGGGCCAGAGGCACTGGAGATCAGTGAGGCATACAAGCAGGAACATGAAGGGGACTTCAGACTGCTAGACAGTTATCTAGGATTGCCAGTTTTGGTTGGACGTGTTCCTGGAGGTTTCATCACATGACCTAGTCTTTAACTAAAGATTAATCTTCAATTCCTGGAGACTCCAGGACAGTCCTCAGCAAAAATGTCACTTGTGCCAGGGCTTATTTTCTTTTCGTATGGTAACTGTATTATTTGGGAAATATGATAGTATGTGACCGTCAGTGAAGACTGCATTGCAATGCATGTGCACAGAGGGGCAGTGGTGAAGATGTGTATGGTCTTAATGTTGTTATTTCTTGACTTTTGTATGTTTAGGCATGTAACCTTAATGTTATCTCAGAGCAGGATAGATTCTGCGCTGCTTATGTGTCAGTTTAAAATTTGCCAAAATAATGCACCTTACTTCGTATTTTTGTTGATCTATCTTAAAGTTGCTAAGAATCATAAATCTTCACTTAGGGTAGGGAACCCACGCTGTTGATTGATCTACTTTTGATACTGTGTAGAGGTTTGAAAGTAGGGTTTCCTTAATTACACAGGCATTAAATTAAAATCAGTCCATTCAACTACCTAGTTGTATTTCTAATGTGCTCATCACTGTGGTATCTAGGCAGGTTGACATTCTTCCAGGGAAGTTTAATTAAGGGATACTCCTGGAGAAGTCTCATTTGAGTGACCAGATTTGGTTATTAATAATTTCAGACAAGGTGAAAAGGGCAATATTTTATTCACCATTGATTTGGGTTTTTTTTAATTGTATTTGCTACAATGAATGGGCATATTTTAGTTTCTGATTACCTCTGCTTGGGTTTGCTGAACAAACAGAGTTATATCCTCTAGTGAATAGTTAAGTGTTGGTGTGTATCTGCTGTTCAGTTTATTGCCCAGATCCTCATAAAATGTGGAAAAAATCTGTTTCTTCTTTCTTTTTTAATTCAGTGCAAACACTGCCAGATGCAGCTCACCCAGGTAAGTTGGTTGATTAGAACACATGGCTTTTTCAGTTGTGCAATTGTAACGATGTATAAAGCAGCACAACAAAACAGTCGCTTACTTTAGCAGCACTAAATGACTCACGTGATGTTAGATGCTCAGTGTATGGTCACTATTGAATCTTTGGTGGACTTAGAAGATCTGGTTTTAAATGTAAATGACTGGTAACTCAACTTTCTGAGGACTGTCTTTGCTGTTTCTAATGTGCAGTGGCTTTAGAGAAAGAGGGAAGTACTGCTTTACGTAGGGAGACTGGGTTTATATTTCAGTCCATGAATTGAATTCAAGACCCTTTATTGATCCTGGTTTCCCAGCTGGCTTTACTGGGTGGAAATGCCTTTTCCCACAGGGGACAAATACGTGGCAATGGGCTCTTTAATCTCACAGTCGAAGGTCGGACAATATCCAGTGTCTAGAGGTTGAAACTACACAAATTCAGACCAGAAATAAGGTGTACGTTTTTTAACAGCGAGGATAATTAGCCATTGGAACACCTTACCAAGGGTTGTGGGGGGAAGTCTCCGTCGCTGGCAATTTTAAAATCAAGATGCGATGTTTTTCTGAAAGATCTGCTCTAGGAAATCTTGTGGGGAAGTTCTGTGGCTTGTGTCAGGAGGTCAGACTAGGTGAGCACAGTGCTGGCCTTGGAAAGCTATGAATCTGCCGAGCGTGAGGATTGAGACCTCATCTCTCGTGTGTGTAATCTGTCACTTCCAGCTTGGATTACTGCAGTGTGCTCCACGCCGGCCTAACCTTGCAGACCGCTGGGTTGCTGCAGCTGCTGCAGAACATGGTTGGCCATAGAGAGTACATTACACTAACAGTCCAAAGGCTGCACTAGCTTCCTGTTTGCCCCCAGGTGCAATTTCAGGTATTCATTTTGATCTTGAAATCTTTGCCTGGTTTAGGTCCTTGCAACCTGAGCTATCTGCCTCCTCTCATGTCCCATTGCCCTGGTGAGATCAGCTAAGGTGCTGTTACTAAGTCCTTAGATTTGAACAATTGAGGTTGGTAGCCTCAAATTCACTCAAACCCACTAGTCTGAGGTCACAAGTTTGCAGCCATTTATAGGGCAGCGTGCAAAATATGTGTGTTCATTGTGGCTTTTGACTGTGATGGGTTACAGTAGAACCTTGGAGTTATGAACACCAGAGTTATGATCTGACCAGTCAACCACACACTTCACTTGGAACCAGAAAGTACACTATCAGGCAGCAGCGGAGACCAAAAAAAAAAAAGGAAATACAATACAGTACTGTGTTAAATGTAAACTACTAAAAAAATCAAGGGAAAGCAGCATTTTTCTTCTGCATAGTAAAGTTTCAAAGCTGTATTAAGTCAATGTTCAGTTGTAAACTTTTGACAGAACCACCATAACGTTTTGTTCAGAGTTATGAACAACCTCCATTCCCAAGGTGTTCGTCACTCAGAGGTTCTACTGTACTGGGTGTCCTTGTTTTTAGGGTTGTTTGGATGTTGCCTTTGTGTTCAGGTTTTTATTAGCGCAGGGAATAGCTGTAAATTCAGGGATTGCTTAATCAATGAATAAAATACAAAGCACTACTGATATGTGTGTGCTAAGTATTAGCACGTTTCATTGGCAGGAAGCATGTTTCAAACCCAGGCGGTGGCTTTTGTGTGTTTCCAGTGGTTCTGGGGAGTAGACGCTTGTTTCCTATAGAGGAATGCATGGATTGGAGGCTTACCTCAGAGCGGATGGGCAAGACTAGCCTACAAAAACGTGCTGCGAGCTAGGTTAAAGCAGAGGTAGAGATTTCAGGTTTGCTTCATCTCTGTGTTAGGCTAGTTCTGTGCCAGTGTAACCCTTCTGAAATAAGTGTAGTGACAGCTGTGTAAAACTGGAGTAGCAGTGATGAATCAGGCCCTGTATTTATTTGACTTAGAGCAGGCAAAGCCCAGCTTTATTAAGGTACTGGATAGGGTTCAGGCCTGGGTTCAAATCTGGGCTCTGCCACCGGCTCTCTTTGTGACCTTGGGCAAATCCCTTAATCTCCCTATGCCCCAGCTCCCATCTGTAAAATGAGAATAATGATACGTGAGAGTCAAAAGGTGGTGGAAATTCTTATTTAGAGTTAAGCTTTTTGAGGCAGGATTTGGTTAAATAATAACAGTGCCATGAGGAGCCACCAGGGAGAGCTAGAAGTGTCCTGGGAGTCTCTGACAATAGAGAGAGATCTATGGGATCAGACTTTTCTTTTATGACAGTGAAAAAAGTGTTTCTTAGTTAGGATTTACCCTGAAGATAGTGTCATGTTAACATCTGAGCTGGCTGGGAAATTTTCAGCAAAACAAATGGAAAATACCCATTTGTTGAAGTAGAAACCTGTCTGATTCAACTAAACTTTCTCTGGAAGGTTTCCTGAGTCTGGGATGGAACGTAGAGAGAGAGACAGACCCCATAATAGCCAAGAGCCTGGTGGTTTGGGCACTCACCTGGGATATGGGAGACCAAGTTCAAGAACTTGCTCTCTCTGATTTGGGGCAGGGTCTTGAACCTGGCATCCCACATCTCAGGTGAGTGCCATAACCAGTGGGCTACTGGCTAGTCTCAGGTTTCTCTCGTTCTCTCATTTTTAAATGGGGAAAGATCTTAGTTTCATCCTGATACGAAACCAAATGCCAGAATGGAATTCTCTTTTTCTGGCCAGCCCGAGTTAATCCTTTCCTACGATTCACTTGTGAAGGAGAAAACTCCCTTCTTTCCCTGCATGGCTGGGAGGGAGAAGAGCACTTTCCCAGGTGCTGAGATACAGCAGCTCAGCTCTCTGGTTCTGTTTTTTGTGTCACAGCCTTCAAGGCCGCTGTCCTGATCCAGAGATGGTATCGACGCTATGTTGCCCGGCTAGAGATGCGCCGAAGGTGCACGTGGAGGATTTTCCAATCCATAGAGTACTCCTGTGAGCAGGATCAGATCAAGGTACGGTGCTAAAGAGAAGGAGAGAATGGAAGCGTATGCCCTCTGTCGTTGTCGTCTTCATAATTCTTATCGGGCATAGTGCTTTGCAGACCCACACAATCCTTTCCCAGAGAGGAAGGCCCTGGGATGAGACTTTGGAGGCCTGGGTTCAGTTCCCAATTGTGCAGCAGACTTTCTGGGCGGCCTTGGGCAAATCACTTACTTATCCTTTGTGCCTCTGTTCCCTTTCTGTACAATGGGAATAATACAACTCCTGTTGCCTGTTTAAATTGGAATCTTTTTAGAGCAGAGACTATGTGCATGTACAGGGCTTTGCACATGCCATCTTTTAGCATTTTATCTAAATCAAGTGGGCCCTGATTGGGTTGAGGCCTTTAGGAGCAACTGCAATAAAAATTGAGCGGTGATGAAGACAAAATACAAGACCCACTGTATGTGTGTGGGCGGAGGGGAATGGATGAGACGAGGGGAGGAGAAGGGTGACTATAGGATCATGTGGTAGGTAGGTGAGTAATAGGCATATTTAGAGACTTCGACAATTGGGTTTTAAATATAGAGGAATTTTTTCGCAAGCTTCTCTGTTCCTCTTGCTTATGTTTGTTCTCTGTTCTGCCTGAGTAGGCATGAGCTGCATGACACTTCCTGCCAATGAGCAGATGGCATCTCGAGGCTTTTGTGGTAGACATCTGAAAGCCGTTTCTGTGGCTCCTTGGCAGGGAAAGTTGTCTCCTGCAATGAAATAGCAGCTCCTGATCTACTGCCTCCTTTGTTTATATTTCATACTTGGTATTAGTTAATGTCTGTTTTCTGGTAAGGTGTTGACATCCATATGGCTTCCTAGCCCCCTTCTGGCTCTTTTCACGTTCAGGGCCAGCACATGCTTGGGGCGGCGGGGGGTTGGGAGGGCAGCGGCGCGGCGTGGCATTCCGTGTGGGTGCCCCGGCGGCGTGGTGCTCGGTGGGGGGGCGGCGCATTTTTTTGCTGCTTGGGGCAGCAAAAAAGTTAGAGCCGGCCCTGTTCACGGTTGACTTTCTTTTGCGTGTTAGTCCCCGTTCACTTGTATATGATGGAAGCCAGAAATACTTAATCTTGAAGCCATGGGGAGCAAATGAAATGAGACAGGATTGGGCGTAATTTGGTGTCACAGCTCCTCTGGGGGGGTTTATGAACACCAAGAGGGAAGCCACGTGAGCTCTTATTGCTTAACTTGGCTCAGTGTTTTCTCACCTGACTGCCTTTAAGCAGATATTTGCATCTTTTTCTTCAGCATGTGAGATAGTTTAGATCAGAGAAACGGTAGCTGAAGGGACAATGGAAATCTGGATAGACCCTCAGAGAGGGATGCTGTGATTTCTTGTTTTCCGTACCCCCACCTGCAAACTCCCTTGAAATAAGGGAGTGGAGTGAAGCAAAGGTAGTAAGGAAAGGCCTGTCTTTTGCATGCACTCCAGAAGCAGTTATAAGGTAATGCTCATCTTCAGCCTGATCCAAAGGCCATTGACATCAGTGGAAAGATTTGCACTGTCTTCACTGGGCATTGGATGAAGCCCTTTATTCTTGGTCTTCCAGGGCCAGATTTTTTTACTGTTCTATACCCAACATGCTTCCAGTGGGCTGAACTCATCTGAAAATCTGGCTGTTAACAATTAGCATTAAATTGGAAAGATGGTTAATTAAATATCACTTGACACAATGTATAATTAATTAGTGGAACTCTCCACAGGGGGATATTTTGAGGCAAATGGCTCGGCAAGAGTAAAAAAAAGTTTGGTCTTTTATCGGAATAAGAGCAGCATCGGTAGTTTCATTGCCCAGGGTAGAAATGAGCAGGACTATCGATCCATCGGCTTCACAGTATAAATTAATAGCCACCTAGAGCTCAGGGAGAATTTTCCCCCCAGGGTGTAATATTGCACAATTGGCTGCATTTTGTGGGTTTTACATCTTCCACGGAATTATTTTACATTGGCCTCTTTGGGAGAGTGGAGACTGGTCTATGTAGACCACTCTTCTGCTCCACAATGACCGGATTTGCTGTGTATGCAAAGGAGGTTGTGGAGGCTCAGGTGAAAAGAGGAACTGTCTTCTGAAGAACACGCCGTGGTGGAGCTTTTAAAGCTTTAGCTCGTGTCTTAGGGTGAATAACATGGCGCTCCTTCTTGTCTTCTACAGCTTCACAACTTCTTCAGTTACCTTATGGACCACTTCACACCAAGCAGCAGCAAAGAGAGTAAGCCTGTGTATTCCATACATAGATATGGTACTTGTGGCCCTGAAAGCTGCATGCTCAGTGCAGGGGGTGGAGAGGGAGGTGGACTCACGTGGCTCAACGCTGACACTTCCAGTTGATTAAGGAGTGACCTCACAGGGATCTGAAGGGAGACCTGTCTAGATGTCAGATGCACCCATGACTACAATGCCTGCGTTAGAGGGACCGGGATTATAACGCAGGCCTCAGGAGTTTGAAGTGGGGTCAGGAGTAAAATAGAGAGATCCCTTGGGGGCTCTGGAGCAGCCGCGACCCCTCTAGAAGTTGGAAGCGGGAATAGAAGTACACATCCAGAATATTATTGCTATAAAGGAGCTTGTCATTGTCAGATGTTCCCTAACTACAATAATCAAGGTCCTGTGGATTCCATAATTCTGCAGCTGCAGTCTCCCCCCTTGAATCTTAATTTTAAATTTCTAGCCCTCATGCTTGTGGCAAGAACTGTAAAAATATGACTGCAAACCAATGCAGTGCTGCCTTCCTGAGTAGATAGCCTGAAAACAATAGCTCTAAGGGGTCTGGACTTCCCAGTTTCCCCCAGTGGTGTGTTAACTCTAACTATACAGGTAACATGTCAGCATTAACTATTTCACTGCTGATCACTTTAGTAAATACATCCAGCTGATGTGCTTATCCCATCATCTCAAAGTGCCTCTCTTGCTTAACTGGGTGCCGCAACTTTTTCTCTACAACATGATTCTGTATTGTCACTACAAAATACATTTGGGCTACACTGAAAATCTGGATACAGAGTAAAATACATTGACTATTATTTCAAAATAAATAACACAAGAGACCCTGCCCTGGTTATACCATTCATTTTTCACATTTAATTCTGGGGGGAAAAAACAAAAAGCTCACCACAGACTGGCTGCACCAAAATGCTGCAGAAATCAGGAGGGCTTTCAGAAATGCTTGCCACAGAGCATACTGGGCCTTGCCTACATCTAGTCCGAGTCATATCTAGAGCTGCTTGGAAATTTTTTGTTGAAATATTTTTTTTCTGTGGGAAATCCCATTTTTGTCAAAATTGAAACATTTAAAAAAAATATTGATTTCAGTGAAAATTCCGCGGAGAGAATATTTTTTTTTTTTTCAAAATTTGAAAATAATTTCATTTTGGAAAATGTCCGAGTTTCCTTTCAGATGTCTGAATTTCATTTTGGAATTTCAAAATGAAAAGTTTCCAAAACCTCAAAGTTTTCAGAATCTGTTTTATGGGAAATTTGAAAAATGGCTGTTTTCATTCTGCCATTGGAATGAAAAGAAATTTCAAAATGTCAAAATTTCTTCCATGCAGCAAATTCTGAGTTTTGACCAGGTTGAGTTCCCTCCTCTCCTCCTAATGCAGATACAATCTAGTTTCTAACCAGATTATGTGCTTTGGAATCAAGACTAAGGCCTTGGCTACACTTGGCAATTCACACTGCTGCGAGAGCTCTCTCGCAGCGCTGTAAGTACTCCACCATTCCTAGGGGAGTAGCTTGCAGCGCTGTGAGGGAGCGTGCAGCGCTGCAGGCGCTGATTACACTGACGGTTTACAGCGCTGCACTCGGGGGGGGGGGGCGTTTTCACACCCCTGAGCGCAGCAACTTGCAGCGCTGTACAGCGCCAGTGTAGCCCAGGCCAAAAATGTTGAGAGGAGCCTACTGAAGGGTTGTTCTTGAATACCCCCAGGCCTGATAATCTTTAGCAAGTCATTGAAATTACACATTGGGCCCAATTTACCCTTTTTTTTTTTTTAACTCCACCCAGGGGACTTCATTAGCCGCATGTTGACGGAGGAGGAAAGCTACAAAGACACAGAGCTGGAAAAACTCTGCGACTATGAATCTGTAGAGGTGCCAGATTCCTACACTGGACCCCATCTCTCCTTCCCACTGCTGCCTGATCATGCAACTGCCTTACTAGAAGCTTTCAAACAGAAACATGTAAGTACCCCCAAAGGGGGACTGTAGTGGTTCCCTCTCTTTGCACTGCCATGGAGGTGGGGTGGTAGAAGGATAATTCTAGGGGGTGATCTGCCTCTTTTTTCCCCCAAAATATGTGGTCAGGAATATGGTAGGGAAATTTTTGAGAACATCACCTTCTTTTGCTCCACAGACCCACAGAATCTACATGTGATTATTCTGGAGGCTGCTGACCAAAAAGGCGAACAGAATGTTAGGAACTATTTGGAAAGGAATAGAAAACAGACAGAAAATACCATATTGCCACTATATAAATCCATGGTGCACCCACATCTGGAGTAGTGTCCAGTTTTGGTCACTTCAGCTCAAAAAGGATGTAGTGGAACTGGAAAAGGTTCAGAGAAGGGCAACAAAAATGATTAGCGGTATGGAACAGCTTCCATATACGGCGAGATTAAATAGATCCGAGCTGCTCAGGTTGGAAAAGAGACAGCTAAGGGGGGATATGTTAGAGGTCTATAAAATCATGATTGGTGTGGAAAAATAACAAGTGTTATTTACCCTTTCCCAGAGTACAGAAACCGGGGGATACCCAATGAAATTAATAGGCAGCCGATTTAATACTGTACAAACCAGAGGAATTACTTTTTCACAGAGCATGCAATTGTAGAATGCGTTGCCCTGGGAGGCTGTGATGGCCAAAAGTGTAACTGGGATTAAAAAAAAAAAAAATCAGGATAAGTTCATAGATCATCAGTGGCTATTAGCCAAGGATGTAACCCCATGCTCAGGGTGACCCTAAACCTCTGACTGCCAGAAGGTGGGAGAAGACTGGGTGGATCTCTCCAGAATTGCTCTGTTGTTTACGCTCCCCCGGAAGCCCTGATATTGGCCACTGTCAGAGACAGGATACTGGGCTAGATGGACCATTGGTCTGACCCAGTGTGGCCATCCTTATATTCTTACGTTCAAATTTTTGGCGTGTGTAAATGGGCACTGCTCAGTTAAAATCAATAGAGTTGGATCCATTGACACCTGTAGAGACTTTGGCCTTACATATTTATCCCTGTTTGAACGGAAAGGTGAGCACCTGTTCCCTAGTGAAGCCCTCTTTGTCAACTGATCTAGGAGCAGCTTTGAAGGGACATCCATTCTCCTTGGCTGGAAGATGGAAGCTGTTATGCGTATAAGAAGCACATGGGATCTTTCAGGGGAAAAGGCAATACACCATGTTTATCGAAGATACAGCAATTAGCATATGCACTCAATCAGGACCCCCCCCCCCACTGTCCTGCCAGTCGATGCTATCGTTACCAGTTCAGAGTCTGGATCAATTTAGTGGCCAGCTAGATTGATCACGAGTAGGTAGGAGCCGGGTTCTGTCGGTCGTGACACGATGCTCCGGGGAAGTCTTGGCAGGACGAACCCGAAGTTTCATGGCAAGGCACCCTGTTTATATAATGATTTTCCTTCATTGGGGACCAATGAGTTTTGCACCTCATGCTGTAATCAATTGTTATTTGACGAGTGCTTGTTTTTTTAAATTGTTTTTCTCATCCTTTATCTTGTTCTTTCATCAAGTCTCTCAGGGAGTTACCCCAGGCTGGTTTTGATCACAGCTATCTTGTCCCCATTGATAGATGCCTGTCTCATCTTTAGAGTCGTCAATCTGCCCTCTTCTAACATTTCAATAGGGGTGTGTTGCAGCCTCCTGGCACCCTTGCGTCTGTCCTCGGTTCCTCCCTAGAACATCTGAATTGATTTAAACAGAACGTTTTGAACAGGAACATCAAGTTGCAAAGCAAAAGAAAAACAATCATGGCATTCTTTTACTTATTTTAAAGTGCTAAACCTACAACAAAGTGGTGACCCTAAAAGGTTTGTTTCTGCCTTGAAATCAGCCCAGACACAGATTCTGGCTGATGCATCTTTACAAATGCCCATTAGGCCATTCCTTTCTGCTTTCAGAAAGGGTGGCTGGCAGGATATGGTCAAATCACACATCAGTACATTTAATACATGCTACATTATTATTCTTTATCCTTCATTCTAAATTATAGAAAATACAAACATAAAATCCTACTACTACATGTTCCCTTTTTGACCCCCAAGAACAATTCTTGAGTGGGTCATATTTTATACAACTGTTTCATAGCAATATAGTGAGAGGCAATTCGAGCTTGTGGTTGTAATTTAACAAACATTCTTTCTGTCCAGCAGCACATACAACACATTCCTAGCAAGCAAACACAGAACAATATTAACACAACTAGTAATGGGTGAAACATAATAGCCAATGAGCCCTTAGAGGTCGGGGACCAGCCTGTAAAAACATCATACCAGTGATAGGCTGTCAGTTCTTTTTCAGACCTAGCAATTTTTAGCATGTCTTCATTTGCATGTAATATTTGAATGACGTGCTTCCCTATATCCCTCTGTGTTTATTGTAAAAACGGAGTCACCTTTGTTTCTGACAACAAGCGATCAATTAGATCGTGCCAATCCAGGCCAAGGGTAACAGAGAAATTAACCGGGGTGGCGGTTATAGTGCACTGTGCTTCATCTATCTTTGGTAAATAGTACATGTGATTGCTAGTATATAATACACGGGCATTACATCTACATTCATCCACTGGGGGTTGGCTAATACTTGCATCTTCCCAGAATACCGGTTCCCAGGATGTAACACACACACATTATCCATTGTACAAAACACGTGTCACATTTTCTAGTTTGTCTCATACACATGTTCCCAAGAATGTGTCCTTGCTGCATGGTTCTGTGGTGACAGGTAGGGACAAGCACACCCATTTCTGAGGGCTTCACTCCGTACACCCTCGGGTGTCCAATAATTTCTTCTTTTTCCCAGCCCACTGACCCATAACCCGGGGTAGCCAAAAGGATCCCATGGTCAATTTTGGGAGCGGGCTCACTTTCCATATTTCTGTCTCCACAGACTGGGGGTGAGCAATATTAACAATAATTTCACCTAATAACAAATCAGGCTTAACCATGCTGGAAACATATTGCATCCATTCATGTTTGTAGGTGTCAAACAAGGACCTCTTCCGTTATTTTAAAAGATGCGTTAATACCTGAACATTCCCAGATATTACCCAAAACATTTCGTGTTCAAGTGGTGCTAAACTAAGAATTTGCATCTCAGTAGATCCTATGGCCAAGGCAGTTTTATTCCCTACTTCTGTTTGTTGTTTATACAGGAGCCAGGAGGTGGTGTTCCGCCACCACCACATATTCCATGTTGCTTTTTGGTTTCCCAGCCCTATTTGTACCAAGTCCACAGTAGTATCTGCCTGCTTGTGAATGAGACTAGCTTGCAGTTGTGACAAGGAACTTAACTTATTCTTAATTACCTTCAGGTCTACAGTATTCATAATTCCTGCTCCAAATTCAACTCCTCCTAATATGGTGTCTACTACATCTCGTTTTGCTCGGCCATTGGGGTGTTGATGTGTTTTTATCCAGGCCGTTATAATAGGAAGGGAGTAGGGTGAACATTTGGGTTCCAATTTAGACACGTTCAATTGCGTCCAATCCATACCAATGTTTATTTTTATTAATAGTGGATTTAACAAGACTTTTACTGGATCACTTTGAGTCGCAAACAATTTTGGTTTCTTTATCTTAATTGGGATACCTCTTTTGAATGCATAGTTCCTGGTCCAGGTTCTGGTGCATGTGTCCGGGAACCACAGGCTCAATTTACTATGGGGTATTGGACAGTATCCCACAATAACTGTTAGTATTGTCCCGGTCTTAACAGGCTCATCCCATTGATATGGTAATCGTGGGTAGCTGGAACACCATGTGGTATCCCCATAGGGGCCTTCTATTTTAACCCCTATTTCCCAGTGGTTTGGTATTCCTGTGGTGTTTATAAGGTGAACCTTAAATCCCACTTCCCCATCCCAGGGATATATATAGGTATTTCCTAAGGGTTTTAAGAGTTGGCTAGCATTATTATCGTACCATTCCATGAGGATCACAGGTAGGACTCCATGATTGGTTGGTGGGGAGTGAATTATTCCTTAAAGATTGGCTTATAAGGAGGGCTGCATCTTCTCCCATGATTGCTCTAATTATCTGGGCACTAAAAGTTCCCAGAGGCAGGTAAACACGTCAGACCTTACACTGGAGTCTCATTTTCTGTGGATTAAAATTGTGGTGGTTAAGCAGCGCCTCGTGCTCAGGCTCCGGGATGTCCTTTTTTGCAAAGAATTCAAACATCAGTATTTATGTAAACAGTTTAATTTGTGAAACATGTACCCATTTCAGTTTTCCTCTTTTTCAATGCGGTATACCAATGGGCTAAGGCGGTCCACTATGGAGTAAGGGCCTATCCACTTTGATTCCAGTGACTGAACCTTTTTCCCATTTTAAGGTACATGACTTGGTCCCCTGTTTCCCACAGGGCTGCCTTTATGGGCCTTTGGTTCTGAATTTTGTTGTTCATGTGTTCGATGGCCTGATTAACCCTATACTGGAGGTTGGTTTTGTTTTCTTGTAACTGTTTGAGCCATTGAAAATAATCATGCTGGGTTAAATTAGAGCTCTCTTCTTGACCCTGTACTAGGTAACTAGGATCAATCATTAGGTGCATTGGATATCCAAACAGAATTTGAAAGGGTTGAATTTTTGTCCTTAATCTATTACTGCTGCGGTAGGCAGCCAAAATCAGAGGCAGTTTATCTAGCCAGTTTTTTCCTGTGTGATTTACTACCTTCCAGAGCGCTTCCTTAATAGTGCGGTTCATGCGCTCTACTTGGCCTGAGGACTGAGGCCGGTATGGTATATGGAGCTTCTGTTTAGTTCCCAAGGTTTGAATCATTATTGTAAAGATTTCTCCTACAAAGGCTCCCCCATTGTCGGAATCTATTATTTCAGGGGTGCCATATCTACATATCTAGATACTACCTCGTTAAAGAACTTTTTGGCCAACACCCTGGTGCTGTTATTTTTAGTGGGAAATGCCTCCACCCATCCTGAAACGGAATCAGTTATTACCAATAAGTACTGGAATCCTTGGCAGTTTATCAATAAAATCAATTTGAACCCTGTGCCATGGCCCAAGCCTTCGTTGGTGCATCCTGTGTTGCCAGTGCGGAGGACAAGCCATGTCCTGAGTGCACCAACACAATTTTGCACCCACGTTTTAACATAAACTTCCGTACACTCCCATTCTGCTACTTGCTTTAGCCTTCTTAAAGTCCCTTCCACTCCTTCATGCATAAACTGATAGGCTACAGTAAGTAACTCCTGTCTTTCTATTTTTCCTGGAACTCGGTTAGGACTGTCTGTAGCGCCATCTGTTGGCTCAGCTGTGTCAGCACAGACGTTCTTTTCCTGACCTCTGGTTACAACTTTCTATGTCATGTTGTCGGGCTACTGTATCTACCCGGTTATTCCAGCTGGCCTACATACCTGTTCCTATACTGTGTGCCTTTACATGTCACACCTTTAACTGTTGAGGGTTCTTTGTTACCCACTGGTAAATCCATTTCCATTCCTCTGAATATGCAATATCCTTTCCATCTGCTGCTTTCCACCCGTTCCTATACCAATCATGTATCCAAAACCGTATCCCCTTCACACAAAAATCACTGTCAGCATAAATATACACGGGCCGTGGGGAATTTTCATATTGCCTTAAAACCTGATAAATTGCATGGCGCTCGGCATGCTGAGCCAATCCATGGTCTAAATGTCCCTGAATGACTTCCTCTTCTAAGTTAATGGCAGCGTATTTTACACATCTTTTCCCTTTTACTACCATTGCACTCCCGTCAGTAAACCAGACGTGCTTTTCTTGCCCCGCGGGATCTAACTCTTCCAGTGGGGGTGCCTCTACCAGGACAATTCTTTGCTCCAGAGTGACCTCTGGACATTCGTGCCGGTTCCCTTTTTCAATTAGGGCATGTGTTAGCATGTCCGGCTTGGACACCGGTTCTGTGGTCACCCCTCTATTAACTAAGATAAGCATCGTTTGAGACTTTACCTCCCTGACAAAATGTACTTGAGAGGAGTGTGGGGGCTTTGGATAGTAATAGGGGCCGTTCCCGTTGGGGGCTCAAAAGATTGTACTGCCCAGATGGCTGCTAGACACGTTCACAGGGGTCAAAATTTGTTTCTGCTCCTTGTAATTTCCTGGATTCATATGCTACCGGCACTAGCTTTCCCTCTTCATTGGTTTGTAATAGTGTGGCAGCCAAGGCCATGTTATTAGCCGCCAAACGACTAACCAAAGGCTGGGATTCGTCAGGGAAACGCAGGGCTGTGGCTGTGAGAGCCTTTCTGTTTTAGCAGGGTTAAAACGGAGTCCTGCTCTTCTCCCCATTCCCATTTTGTCTTTTTCTTTAGCAGTTTCCACTATGGGTGAGTGATTTCAGCATATTTTATAAATGTGTGGTCTAAGGAAATTGAATCCTCCTAGCAGAACACTTAAAGAGTGAGCGTCGGTAGGGGCTGGCATTTCTACCAGGGCCCTGACCTTCCTCTGATCTACCTGTCTCCCTTCTTGTCCAGTGACTGCGCCCATGTATGTAACCTGAGGTGGCACCAACCAAACCTTGTTCAAAGTAGCCTTAGACCCCATTTCCTGACTTCGTGCCAAAACGTTTTCTGTTAGTGTTTGCGTTTGCACCTCAGTTTCCCCAAATATCAAACTGTCATCTACATCTGAAAACACAAAAGGCTTTTCTTGTGGAGCCAACTGGCCTAGCATATCCACAACATGCCGAGGGGCAATAGCTGGGCTGTTGTGACATCCCTGGGGCAACCAACAAAAGGTCCGTTGTTGCTCCTTTATTGTAAAGGCAAACTGATCTTGTGAGTCCGGATATAGGGGGATGTCAAAGAAACACTTGGCCAGATCAATAACTGAGAAATATTTAGATGTGGTTTGCACTGTTTGTATGACCTGTGTCGTCATAGCCACAATAGGGGCCATAGGGACGGTGCCCTTATTGATTCTTCTATCATCAATTGTTAAACGCCAGGACTGGCTGTCTGCCTTTACCACTGGTCACACGGGGGAGTTAAAGGGTGAATTCGTTTTTCGAATGGCCCCCTGTTGTTCTAATTCCTGGATGGTTTGCACCAACTGGGCCTCTGCCTCCCTTAGGTAGGAGTATTGTTTTTGGGGAGGCACACATTCCCCAACAATCTTAACACAAGCATTAATTTTACTGCAATCTGTTTTCTTTTGAGTCCATACTGAGGGGAATTTCAAGCGCCGCTTTTCAGCTTGTGGAGCTGTAAGTGCGGCTACTGGTCTCTCTCCCCCTTTTGTTAACGTAACATCCTGCCCGATTTTTCCTGAATGGGGACGGGAAATTTCTAACTTCCAAAGAGTATCTCTGGGCATATCAATCATCACATTGTTTTTGAACAACCAGGCAGATCCCAGAATAATTTCATCATCCATATCGGGAGTTTGGATCAAATCCCCTAATGTCTCGAACCCTTGCACCGAAAAGGGGACTTGGGTCCATTCCCACCTGAGATTAGGTTTCCCTTGAATGGATTTCAAAGCTACCTGTTTTAGTCTTTTTCCTGCTTTTGGGGTTGTTTTGATTAAGGATACAGTGGCTCCTGTATCTATTAAAGCTAGTGTAGGGTTATATCCACCCTGCTGAATGTTCACACATGGCCATCCCGCGGGATCCCAGGAGACTTTGCCTATGAACCTCCACCTCTGTGCCCCTACTGGTGGTGGGGGTTCCCCATTCAGCAGGCCCCTCTATTCTTGTCCCAGAAAAGGGAGTGGGTCCGGGAAGCATTGCAGCAAGGAAGAAAGGGGTGGTACACTAGGAGTTACGCTAGCTACCTCTTTTGGTGGGGTTTGCAACCTCATGGCTTCCCTGACTAGTTCTAATGTGGGGACCCCGTGCTGCATTAGTGTTCGCCAGGCTATCCATCGAACCTCATTTTCCGTGTGCCCACCTCCCTCCTTTGATTCCTGAGAGGAGGCTGTCTGATATTGCCGGAGGTCTGGGTATAACCAATCTCCTTGTCGCCCCAGTTTCCCCGTCCATGGGATCGTCCTCTAGTATATCCTCTTCGGGACCCCGTGATTCCCTTTGTGCTGCTCTCATTGGTGTACGTAACAACTGGTTCTAATGCAGCTACATAGGCAGCTCTCTCTTTTTTGATAGCGGGCTGTGGTCCCGAATGGGTAGTTATTTGTTGGACCAAACCTCTGAGTTCCCCTAGGGGAGCTGGGCGACCATCTTGCCAAATTCCAAGTCTCTCGGAGTAGTAGGGGTTAGGGAAGCAGCAGTCTCTTAAGGATTGTACGCTGAATGCCACTTTGTCCAGCGCTGTGGTGTTGCCCATCGGTGTTAAGCCGGCTATTATCTGCATCAGACCCCACCGGGTTAAATAATTCTTAGGGTCTTCATTGGGCTCTTGGGTTGCGGCTACGGCTTGTGCTATGAAATTGTGCCTGCCTATTTGCTCTCCAAAAAGTCCCATTAGAGTCAATATGCTATTGTTCTCGTCAACTCTAATCCTACCTAGGACCACCCCCGGATCTCTGAAGTCGCGCAGACGCCCATCAAGCGGCAGACTTCAATTGCGTTCATCTCTTCCCTTATTGCGAGCAAAAACGCATTAGAACACCATCTGGAGAAATTCCGATAATCCCATCTCTTTTATTGTAACTTCTCTTAGGGTATCTTTGAGAATGTCTAACGGGCTTTGTTTTCATTCTCAATCAGAATGAAAACAAATTTAAAACCCACCTAATTTCCTGTAATACAGGAAGTCCGGTTCCCGCCCAGCTCAGTTAACAAGATGGTGGCTTCTTGAATAATGGCAGTTCTCTGCGACTTTCTCCCTCAAGAACAGTGCTGGCGTCTCTACAAAGGCGTGGCTAGACAAACAGTGAGCATGCAGCGTGCAGCTAAATCTACAGTCCACTAGCCTGCTGTGCACTAAGTATCCATGTGGTGCTGGCTGCTGTGCATTCAAAGTCCCATAATGAACTTTGATCTACTCCACTTTGGAATAGGGGCAGGTCAGTGCTCACTACGTGAGCTGGCAGGGTTCACTTGGACAATTAGTGCGCAGCAGGCTAGTGTGAGGTGGATTTACAACCTAGCTTGCCACGCACTAACTGTTCATCAAGATGTGCTCTTAGTTCAGCAGCATTAAATAAATTCTAGATACGTGTGCTGCACCTGGACACAAGGCAACACAAAGTCGCACTTTCTGAGTGGAAGACTAAAAATAAGAAACTCCTGGAGGAGACTCTTTTCCTACCTGGAATATCTGGGCTGTGGCAGCGAGGCAGTAAGGTCTAGTGGATAGTGCACTGGACTGGGAGTCAGGAGTCCTGAGTTCTATCGCCGGCTCTGTCACCAGACTGGCGTGTGACCTTGGGCGAGTCACTTCCCTTCTCTGTTGCTGTTTCTATCTCAGCCTGTGCCTGTCTTATCTGTTTAATTTGTAAGCTCTTCCCGGCAGGGACTGTCTCTTCTGTGTATGTACCGTGCCTAGCACAGCAGGGTCCTAATCTCTTGGAGCTTGTAAGTGGTAACAGGTAACCACTGGCACAGCTGCCCTGGTCCTGTGCCACAACACACTGTCTCTTGGAGGGCCAGATTTTCAAACATGTTCAGGCCCCAGCAGCTCCCATTGCTCTCAGTGAGAGGCGTTGTTCAAAATCTGGCCCCTAGCATACTCCCACGTAGAAGAATTGCAGATAGTCCTTCCTAACTTGGCTACTGCGATCTCAGCTGGGCTGGCCCATGTAAGCAGTCCAGGTCTCCTTTCCCCCTGGACCTCTCCTGGACACCCCATTACCAGCAGTAGCACGTTAGGTGGCCCTTTCCATTTGGAAGTACCATGCTAACAGCTTGCCCAAGTCTGTTCACTTCTGCTCCCCGAACGCTGTCGTGTGGTGAACTTCCCACTCTAATTCCCTCGATTTCTCCCAGTAGCAGCTCCACGCTCATTATGTCTTAAAACTCCTGCACGAGACCAGGAGACATCTCATGCAGCTGCCAAACATCAATCATGTCTCCACCTGCTACAGCGAGGAGATCACCGTCTGCGGTAAGAGCGCTCGAAAGGAAACCCCCTCGAACCTCCAGAACTAGCAGCCACGCACGTGGATGGTTATTGTTCTTAAATGCAAAAGAGTGTAGGCCAAATCCTGCTCTGTAATAGGTGTGTAACCCCAGTGAATGAAATGGTGGCGTATGTGTATAACAGAGCAGGATCTGGTGTGGTTACCTGTGGTGGTGTAGCTTCAAAATGGTATAGCTGGGTCTGTGGATGCAGTGGGACAGCAGGTTGGATATCAGTGCTCACCTTTGCCTGCTGCATTCAAGTCAAATCAAACCGAACCGCTCAGCCTAAGAAGCTGTGTCAGTTGTATTCTGTCCCTAGTCTAGATCAGTTCAGCCGCTGGAATATAAACAGAGCTGCCCTGAGGCTTGGCCATGCACGCATATTGTGGTCAGTGAATCTAGTGATGCTAGTATTCAGGCTGCGATAGCTCTGATGGAACAGTAGAAGTTGTGGAAGGGAAGGGGGCTTGGGTGGGGGTGGATGCATTTTAATAAAGGCATCCCATAATGCTCCACAAGAGCAGTTCAGGGGAATCCAAACCCTAAAACCCAGTTAATCATTAAGGAGAACGAACAAGGTTTGTGGTGCATCCTAAAGTATTAGCGGCTTTATTTCATAGACCCAGTTTTTTACAGAAAGCGATTTAATGGCCGTCCCTTTTGTTAAGCGACAGCATGAACAGCTTTGCTTTGTTAAATATCAGGGAGGAGGAAAGCACGCCCTGAACTGAATGTCTTTTCGTGTGTTAGGAGACTTGCATGGCCGGCTGGATGACTTGTTTCTGATATTTTACAAGGTACGTACTGTGCTTTGCTAAGAGTCGCGCTGGCCCGTCCTGCGGCCTTCACCCACCGATCGCAGTGGAGTGTTCTCCAGGATCAAGCTCTCAAAGCTGCCTTCTCACATTCAGCTCAGTGGGTTTGGAAATGGCTTCCCTAAACAAAAGCTTATCCCTGGTTGTTATTCCAGCTATTGGTCTAGTTGTACGTTTTTTCCAAGACAACATCTGACTGTTTTCTTACCACTGGTTTGTATCCGTACGTTAAAGTGATAGGAGGCTGCAGAGCAGATACTGGCCAAGACGCTCAGGTGGGGTAAATGGGTGCGGACATCAATTGAACTACAGCCATTTGGCTCACCAGAGGAGTTGGCCAATCGTATCACCAACCTCCTTCTGCCTAATCCTTTACAGTACAGTTAGCATTATACTGGCCTTAGAAAAGTCAAGGGGAGTTTTGTCATTAACACCAGTGGGGCCGGAATTTCACCATAGGGCACAATGACTAGATGACAATACTGGTTCTTTTCAGTTGCTGACGTGTATGATAAAGATGCTGTGAATCAGGGGAGCTGGAACACAGAAATATGTATGGGTGGCGGTTCGGAGAACGCGGAGGGGAGGGATTTGCCGTTTGTCCCCTTCTCGCTCTGTGGCATTTGTCTGTATTTCTTGTTTGTGTAGAACGGCCTTCCCTCCCCGGAGAAGTCCTATGTGTTCAACGGGGATTTTGTGGACCGAGGCAAACAGTCCGTTGAGATCTTGATCATTCTCTTTGCCTTTCTCTTGGTGTACCCGAAGGAGGTTCATCTGAACCGCGGAAACCACGAGGACCACATGGTCAACTTACGGTACGGGCGCAGACTGCGGGGGGTATTGGAGTGCAAGGTGCTTGTTACTAAACGGCTACTCAGAATCATCTCTTCTGTTTCCATCTAGCTATGGTTTCACCAAGGAGGTCATGCAAAAATACAAGGTAGGTTTGCTTTGAAATCTCACATGTTCTTTCCTGTGTCTGGCACACACTTCCTGGTGCTTCACCTCCTCCTTCCTGCCCTTGTCTTTCTAGGTGCATGGGAAGAAAATTCTGAAGATGCTCCAGAATGTCTTTTGCTGGCTGCCACTGGCCACCTTAATCGATCAGAAAGTCTTGATTCTACACGGCGGGGTGTCTGACATGACTGACCTGGAGCTGCTGGCCAAAATCCAAAGGCACAAGGTACGTCTTCTTTGTGGACCCTTTGAAATACAAAGGCACTGCTGGTTTGTGATTGCGAGAACTTGTTTGTTTCTGGTATCCTGGCCAGAGAGAATAAAAACCCAGAGCATGGCTTTGTAGTGGAAGCATGTTTAGATCCCAGCTTGAAACGGACCGATTTTGACTTAACTGAGCATGCGCACTAGGTGTAAAGGGGAGGAGAATAGAATAGCCTCTGGGTTTCTTTTCAGTGGGAAGAATGTAGTTTCTGTCCTGGGTTGTGATGGATTTTGACGTTATTAAACGGATTGGCTGAGGCCGGCTCTGTGATCCAAAGGGGGTAATAAAGGTTAGGACTCTGTCCCCTTGCTCATGGATTGTTGCCCTCGGTAGCACCAGTCCCCTTGCTCTGCACCCCCTGGCTTGTCATTTCTTTTTCAACACTGGGCTCGCGATGGTCTGGTGTGGGTAAGGCACTACAGTGAGACTCAGGAGATGGGGGTTCTAGTCCTGGCTCTGCCCTCGGAAGATTCTGGAGTGACCTTAGGTGAGTTACTTTCTCTCTGTGTGCCACGCTTCACCACACTTCCCTACTGTGCAGGGGTTTGGGGAGGGCACATTTTCTTCTGAGGGATCCTGCTGTGATAACACCCACAAGATCTCTCCCTGTAACCCCACGCCCAGCCAACCCACTCTCAGCTGCTGAAATGCTCCGTAAGCTCCCTTGTAGCTGATCAAATCCTTTCCACATCCCCTCCAGGAATCCCTGATCCTCCTCCTCCTTTAATCACTAAACCCTCCTCTTACCTTCCTCAAATCAAGTATCTTTTGCTTGTCCGGCTGCCAGACCTTCCCACGGTCAGCTGGTTTGATTTCTATCCAGGTACTGACACAGGTCTCTTAATCATAGGGTCTGAGCACCTCATAAGCATGTAAGGATTTTATTGTCACATCACCCCGTTCAACAGTGAGGCACTGCTCTCATTTTACATATGGGGAAACTGAGGCATGGGGGGGCGTGACTTGCCCAAGTTCACCCAGCAGGCAGTGGCAAAGCTGGGAATAGAATCCTGTCTCCACTAGACCATCCTTCCCAGCAGCGCTAGCTCGGTTACATCCTACTTTGCACAGGACTCCACAACAGTTAGGGCCAGACCAGTAAGAGAGTATGATTAATCCCAATTTAACAGAGGGGGAAACTGAGGCCAGGAGTGCTGCGTGACTTGGCCAAAGCCACAAAGGTGGAGTTCATGTTGGAACCAAGGTCAGAACTTGGGAGCTCCTGGTGCCCAGACCCACCCCTCTATCTCTTTTTTTTTTTTCAGTTTGTTTCCGTGTTAAGGGGCAAAAAGAGAAAAGAGAAGAGTAGACGCGTGGACTCCAAAGCGATAAACGGTGAGAGCCCTGTGGGTGTCGATCCTCCAAGGAGCAGTTCGTTCCCTGGCTCATGCCTCCAGCCTGGGCTAGCAAGCACTGCTAGCACGGCCAGCAGGACGGAGCTCTCCCAATGGGTCCGGCAGACGGTCCAAGAGGAGCTGGAGAAGTGCCGCAGGCAGGTGGGGTTCTGTGAGACTCCGGGAGACAAGGAGCTCACCTGCGCCAGCTCTGTTACCGTGACCGAGTCAGAGCTGGAGTCCTGTGAAACAAGCGAGTCGAGCCAAGAAGAGTGGAAGCAGGTGAGTTCAACCTTGTTTCATTTGTGTCTTAGAGAAGACTGCACTAAGAATAATTTAACTTTTGAGGGAAATTAAAGTCCTGGGAACTCCTCTTCTCCTTTTAATATATTGTCGCTCGTTTACTTGTCTCTTTGGGGCAGAGACCGTCTTTTTGTTTTGTGTTTGTACAGCGCCTGGCACAGTGGAGTCCTGGTTCATGATGGGTTCCTAGGTGTTATGGCTATAATAATAATACAGAGCACAGTTGTGTGTTGCCACACCGTGGTATTGGAAATCTCTCAGTGCTTAGAGGACATACCACCTGTGGAATCTCAGATGCTCTGATGTGTGAAGTAAATGTTAAATGTTGACATTGCAGCGGCAACCACTGTACAGAGTCGTCATGTGTGTTTGATCTCTCAGATTGTAGATATATTGTGGAGTGACCCCATGCCTCAGGAGGGCTGTAAAATGAATACGGTGCGAGGAGGCGGCTGCTACTTTGGGCCGGATGTGACGGAGAAGATTCTCCAGAAGCACAGTCTGCAGTTCCTCATCCGCTCTCATGAGTGCAAGCAGGAAGGCTACGAGTTCTGCCACAATCGAAAGGTAGCTGGATAGGCCCATGCTAACGGGTCAGAGTTCAGGGTGTTGGAGTGCATTTCCGTACTATTGCTTTGGGTTTCTTTTCAGTTTTGCTTTAACTCTGAATTTCTTGGAGTCTAATGGTGCTTTTGTTGATAACTACTGGACAAAATGCCTGTACGGTTTTTACCCTGAAGTTATTGATATGTGCTTTCCACCTTAAGTGAGTTTTTGGTCTGGGAATCTTGAACTAAGTTATGCTCCAGTTGGATCTGTCCCACAGACGCTGCCCCTGCACACAGACCAGCCATGCGTCTGTGCATTGAAAGGTGCTGTACTTAGCAAAATGGAATCCTATCTCCTTCATTACATAATTACCCCTGGGGCTTCCAAACAGATGTTCTGTTCAAAACTGTTTGCAGGTATGCCAGGTTTGAAAACCGCAACTGTGTTTAACGAGCAGGCACAGGACCAAATTCTGCTCTCAGATACACAACTGTAAATCCAGAGTGACTTCACTGACTTCAACAGAGTTAGTCTGGATTCATAGCTGTATATGTGAGAGTTGAGTGTTGCCAAGAGAATTCAGTGGAGTCCAGTGACTTTAGCAGTGCACACAGAGAACATGTATCGTTTTCATTCTTCCCTTCCCAAACATTCTCCTTGAATTTCCTTTCCCCAAACAAGTTTTACTGCTCCTTGATCTGAAATCTGATTGGTGAATGTGGATTATCTGTGTGTATGACTGTAAATGCCTGTCCATTTTTTTCACTTAGGTACTGACCATATTTTCTGCTTCAAACTATTATGAGATTGGCAGTAACAGAGGAGCCTATGTGAAACTGGGGCCGGATCTGATCCCTCATTTTGTGCAGTATCAAGCTAACAAGACAGCCCATACGTTAACTATGAGACAAAGGCAAGACTTTCTAGCTTAGTGTTATCAATGGCATAAAAATACAAGCCTATTATAGTGTTAGCCATGCTACTAAGAGATGCACTTTGGATCATCAAATTCTGCTTTAGAAGTAAACCAGAATTGATTGATTAATCCAAAACCCCAGATATGAAAATGCCTGAAGTTTTGAGAAAGCTTGGATCTTGATGAATCAAGACTGGGTGTCTTTCTAAAAGATGTGCTTTAATACACATACAAGTTGTGTGCTTGGGACAGGAATTCCTGGGTGAGGTTGTGTGTGTTATGCAGAAGATGATCATAAACTCTTAATCGTGGGTCCATTTCCAGTCTTCCCTTGTCAATACAAAGTGTAACTCTTGCCCTTTGCAAACGATTTGGAAGTTTGACTCGATCACTTCAGCAGCTGATCATCCAGCGTGTTGTAAGTGACTGATCTCATCTGAACAACCGAAACAAGTGCGGACAAAGCATTCCTTTGTTGGTGCATTAGGAATAACACGTGTGTCTATTCCTGGGACCAAGCGAGGCTCCTGAACTGATTTCTAGTTCTGTGGGATGGTGGTGGGGAGTTTTGTAGCACTGGTCCTAGTGCCGTGATTCGTGTTGGGATGAGTTACACCGAAGCTAAGCGGCAGGGTATCGTGTGTAATCTGATGTGTTGCTGTTTGGGTTTAACTTGCCTACAACAAATGCTCTGCGCTCACGTGAGAGAGATGGGTATGGCCAGGCCATGCGCGAATGGTCCAGCAGGGGCAGATGCTCCTTATCTCGCGCTCATGGGATGAGCTTTTTCAAAATCGCTGCGTCTCTTCTGCTTCTTCTAGGATCAGCAGAGTGGAGGAGTCAGCCTTCCGCGCGCTCAGGGAGAAGCTCTTTGCTCACACATCGGACCTCATCTGTGCATTTAAGGGCTACGACCAGGATGAAACCGGTAAGACTAAGCAAAGAAAGAGCTTCATGTGCACTAGCGGGCAGTGGACAGGGTACCAGGTGGGTGTCCCTGGTGTAAGGGAGCAGACTGTCTACAGCAGGTGCACAGCACTGGCTGACAATGGGAGTGGGAAAACTTGGGACTTGGTGTCCAGGTTGCTGCTGTTTGTCTCTTGTTAACCCAGGCTTGTGTGGGTGGAAACTTTGCTCTTAGGATGGGGAAAGATACCATATCTGTGCCTGTAGTGACATCTTCTCACCCCCATGTCCGCTGATCTAGCTGCACCTTGACTGGTGGAATGTCACTGCAGTGCAAAGTTGGAGGGGTGAAAATAAGGCTCTTTGAGGTCCCGTGTAGCCAGTGGACGATGGGACGATATAACCAAAGGATTACTAAATAAGCAACGCCATTCTTTCCCAAGTGCGATTTCAGCCTCCGGTTCCCAAGGTGCTTTCATGGGTGTCCCTTTCAAACAGGTACCATCACACTGAGTGACTGGGCAACTGCGGTGGAGTCAGTCTTGCATTTAGGACTGCCGTGGCGGATGCTGAGGCCACAGCTGGTGCGCAGCACGGCCGGGGGCCTGCTGGAGTACAAATCCTGGCTGGATGACTTAGCTGTGGAGCAACGGAGCAAAGAGGTAACGAACGGTGCAGCCATTCCTCAGAGCACAGTTGAAGGCTTGGACAATGCTTGGACTTGACCATCAAACTAACAGGGCCTGCAGATCCCATGCTGTTGAGTGCATGAATGTGCTAGGAAAGCCTCGGTGGAGAATTTCTTCATGTAGGCCCCGATCCAAACCCCACTGAAATCGCTGGGAAGATGCCCATTGAGTGTTAGAGCAGGCCAATGAACATTTTATTCAAGTAGTTGTTAATTATGTATTTATTTCTATTCCTTTATTTGCTTAAACACCAGCAAGTTAATCCTTTGATCCTCACAACAATCCTGTGAGGTGGGTAGGAGTGGATTTGTGTTTTTTATTCGCATTTTTTTGGTTTGGGTTCTTTTCATGCCACAGGAAGCCACTTAAGGGGCCTAAAATTAGAAAAGCAAAGAAAAACTAGAGCTGGGGACCCAACTGGCATATTTAGATCCAGATTTGGAATAAGCCCTAAAATGAGGTGTGTGGAAACCCAGCCCACTGTGAAATTCAGGCCTGGATCCCAGTTTGGCTTTAGAGTTGCTGAAGTTCAGGGCTTTTCCGATCCCAGTTGTAGGGATGTGGCTCTGAGACATTGTGTTTAGGAATGGGCTCACCGCCAATCACTAAGATCGTAGCTGTAGTGCAATCAGCTATCTCAACACAAACCCACGTGCACACCCATGCCCTCCTTCTGATACTGTTAAGTGCTTACAGTTGGGGGTCACACAGGGATGCAGAGTCATAACCAGGAGGATCAAAATGTCAAGACAACTCCAAAAGATTTAGATCTGTGTACAGTTAAAATATTTAGTAAGGATTTCTAGGTGTTTCAGTTTGCAGCACACGGTAACATGAAAGGGCGATTCTTTTTGAGTGTAGATGAATTGCTTTTATTTATGCAATACAACTCGAATCACTATACAAAAGCCTGAAATCCCAGCTATGCTAGGACTAGGTAGTAAGTTTTAGCATAAAAGGAAATATGTTATATCTTCCAGCACATACAGTCAAGCTTGCTAGAAACCATTTATCGAAACAGATCCAACCTGGAGACCATCTTCAGGATCATAGATAGCGATCATTCAGGTAAGGATGTGTTTTCTTCCCTCCCCCCCCTCTCTATTTTGTTCCATCTCACTTTTAGGCTCACACTCGTATGTGAAACTGGAGGCAGTTTGCTCAATGGTTAGAACAAGGTCTTGGGAACCAAAAATGGCCCTGTGGTTCAGCTGAGGATGTGTCTAGTTCACTCTGTGGCTGAATCACTTCTTTGTGCTGTGAAAATGGGCTCATGTAGGCTCTCAGTGCAAAAGGGATATTACCTATGAGGATGACCTTGTGGTTAAGGTACCCTATTGGGACCCAGGAGATCTGGGTTTTGTTCCCAGTTGTGCTATAGCTGCCTTCTGTAATGGCACATTACTTAAGCTCCAATTATGCACCATTAAAGACAATGGTAGTTTGGTCAATGATTTCCAGGAGTGTAGGATCCAGATGTTAAACCAGTCTGTACATCCATTTCCCATCTGTAAAATGGGGATACTACCTGCCAGGATCTTCTGAAACTTAATTCAGTAAATGGTTGTAATACACTGAGAGCATCAGATGAAAAGTGTGGGAGGAGTGTAGCGTAATATGACGTTATCCTGGGTAAGTTCACTAGAAAAGAATAAGATGTGTAACTGTTTGAAGTTACATTTGATCTATCCTATTAGTTAATCCCTTGGGGGGAGTGGAGAGCTAGCCAACATCAACAATAATGGGTGAAGATTCAGACTTGTGCTCAGATCCCCTGCAATACCTATCCCATTATGTATGGCAAGCCCCAGCACCACAGTAAACAGAGCCATTTGAATTAATTTTTTATGCCACTAAATTATCTGTAAGGGGGCACTGTATCTTCTCCCCGCACTCCTGGTGCATCTCAGCTGTTTGGAGCTCCCTTCATGCCACAGTGCATTAAGCCTTTGCTTCAATTTGCCTATTATCAACTTTGCATTAGTAATTATAACAATACTTTACTCTTCTCCAGCACTTTCTAAACATGTATTAATTTAGCCTCTACACCCAAGTGAGAGATGGAGTATTGTCACCAGTTTATACATGGGAAAATGAGGCACATGCAGTAAATGACTTCAACATCACGGAGTGCGTCTGAGCCAGGAACAAAACATGGCTATCCTGCCTGCTGCCAGTTCTGTGCAGGAGCTGCACCATTACCTACCCCTGTGCTGCTGAAGGGGCAGGCTCAGAAGAGGGCTGCATGGCCCCTTGTGCACATTAGAGGGCAGCATAGGACTGTCCCTAAACTGAATTGCAAGTTTCTTCCCTGCAGGGCTCATTTCATTTGAGGAATTCAACCAGACCTGGAAGCTGTTCAGCTCCCACATGAACATTGAACTCACAGATGACGGCATTAGTGACCTGGCCCGCAGCATAGATTTCAACAAGGACGGAAACATAGACTTCAACGAGTTCCTCGAGGCCTTCCGCCTCATTGAACACACTCACTGTGACGATAAAGCAGCAGAGATGGCTGTTAGTGGCTGCCCCAATAGCTAAGGAGTCTGAAATGCCACATGCAATGCCTTTAGACTGTCTCCCAAGCTGCACAATCCTTCACAAACGAAGGACATGCCGGCAGCTCTGACAACCTGTGGGGAAGTAGAACTGAGTTACATCTTAGACATCTCAGCGTTGGCAGCAGTTACTGCCCCTGTTCCATTTTTTGGTATGATAATTGGCCAAATAGGTAAGTTGTACTTTCAAAGGAAATGGAGGGGATTTGTTGATCAATAGTGGGGTTTTCTAACACTCTGCAAGGGTATAGTGTAGGCTGTTACAGAAATGTCAGTTAATGGGGGTAAACTATCATTAAAAAGTTTGTGAAGTGGAATTATTAGGAATATCTACAGTAGCTGAAGTTGTTAAAGTATCTAATGAAGTACAAACCTAAGAACAGGGTGCAGGAGCTTTGTTTTTTAAAGCCCAGAAGCAACCATTAATGATGAGCTAGAGTCTGACTTGTATAAGTCAGGCCATCGTGTGAAGTTTTAACTTCTCCATGATGCCCCCCCCCCTCTTTTTTTAAATACAGTCTTGCTTTAAAGACGTCAAGTGATGGAGAATCTGCCACAGCCCTAGGATAAGACACTCCAGTTGTTAATCACCTTTCTAGTCTGACTTGGTTTAGCTTTAGCTAGTAGATCTCTTTCTGCTAGAAAGAGTTAAAGTATCTATCTTGTAAGTTTAAGAGCTGCTATACAGGGTCAGGTAATTGACCCATCACCACTACCTAGTGCTGCAGCGGAAAGTGAACACTTTCACATAACAGTACTTACAGTACATTGTTCAAATGTTTTTGCT